GTGTTGTCTGTATTGTGCTTGTGATATGTTGTAAAATGTTGTATGTCTGTTAATGTTTCCCTCCTTTTATCTTTAAAATAAAAATTAAAAAAAAAAAAAAACAGATGATATAAAGGCTTCCAGTGAGACATAGTCCCACAGAAGCCACTCCTTACTCTTCAGTGGCCAGTCAGTAACAGATACAACTACACTTCTAGTTATGCAAAGCAATATTTTTGTGAAGGCTAGAAATAATATTTTAGGAATTTTTCAAATTAAGGAGTTTAATTGCTTTGATGCTGCATTTCTAGCTCAACAGAAACCTTACTGTGACTTATTAAAATAATTTGCTCCTTTAAGATGCTCTGAGCCCTCAGATGCTGTTACTGTCACATCTTGGGCTAAAAGGCTTGCAGGGTCAGTGCCTAGTATTATCAGACTAACATCTGAGTCCCTGTCCGCCCTGTTCCTGCCCTGAAAACAGTACTGAGCTTCAAGCTGAGCGTGATTTTAAAACAGGCTGAAAGTCTGTTTTAAAAGGTGAGAAATGCCAACTTGAGCATATCTGTGATACCTGGTAAACAACAGCATCCTCTGGTCCCACAGATGGCACAGATGAAGAGCCTGTTCGCTGGGGCTGACCCACTGACCCCTGCATTATCATTGTTTGAAGCATTTTGTAGCCAAGGTTTACAAGGGAAAAATTTAATATAGGACACATAATTTATAGGATTATTTTATAATATTCACCCAAAGAATCAAATGCAAAGGAGTGTGGGAGATCTGTCCACATACTAGAGACCCAAAGAATCTAGCTGAGGGCCTGGATCCCACAGCAATAGCCTGCATGAGTCCAGCTGGAGGCCTAGAGTTCAAAACAATGTCTCATGCAAGTCTGTGTCAAGGATCTACACTGGGAAGGCCCAAAGGCCAGTGTAAGCTAGAAAGTCTGTGCCAGTGGGATGAAGGATCTGTACCAGCAGGCTGACATATCTGCACTGGAGCCAGGAAGTGATGCTCAGAGCTCCCCCAAAGAGAACCGTAACCATGCTCTGCGACAGTGAAGACCCGAGCTCCTCTGAGGATGAGAACAGCTGAGTTCACATCAGGAAAACCAGCATGACAAGATTCTCCACAAGAATCAACAGCACACGATTTTCCCCTCTAGTTCTGCTTTTATGCTATTGGCAACAATCCTCAGGTGGGCCCTCCATACTCAGACCATGCTGTTCAGTTCAGCTGGATGTTACAAGTTGATCATTAGTTAATCTATCACATATAAATCTTGGGCCCAAGGCTCTTTCATACAGGGTTTCCCAGCAACTGCCTCCAGCCTAATGCCTAATTGTGAATGTGGCATTTTACCCTCCCAAAGAGACTGTTAAATCTTGATCATTCACCGACCTCTTTCTCTACAAGCCCTCAGAATGTCTCATGGCAAAAAGATGATTATCTGAAAAAAGAAAAGTCTTATCTGAACAATTTAAAAGTAAACAAGTTGAAGCACTGGAAGTTTTTCAGAGTCCAAGAAAGTAGCTGGGCAAAGTAGGACACATCTGTAATACCAGCAATCTGGAAGTCTGAGGCAGGAAGATTGCAAGTTTGAGCATGTCTCAAAAACAAAACAAAATTTAAAAAAAAAGTGAGTCAGGAAATGCAAATCAAAAGTACACTGAGATCCCATATCACAGTCAGAATGGCCATCACTGAGAAAACAATAAATGTTAGAGAGGATACAGGAGAAAAAGGAAACTTTCTACATTACTGATAGAAATGCAAATTAATACAGCTGTTATGAATATCAACATGGCTGCTCCTCAAAAAACTGAAAATAGAGCTACCGCTAGATCCAGCTATACCACTTCTTGGTAAATACCCAGAGGAATCAAAGCCAGCATACTGTAGGGCTACTTGCATATCCATATTTACTATGACACAATATACTGTGCATATATCCATGTTATACTCTGGCCAAAGTATAGAACCATGAATGGATAAAGATATGGTATACATACACAGTGGAGTATGAGGAAGAACAAAATTCTGTCATTTGTAAGAAAATGGATGGATTTAGAGATCATCATTTTGAGAGAAATAAGCCAGTCTCAGAATTAACAAATACTGGGTATTTGCCCTAATATGTGAATATAAAGTAAGATGATATGAAAGTAGCTAAGAAACTATTAGACAAGAGAAAGGGAATAAAGGTGTTACAGTTTGCATCTACATGTCCCCCCAAAGTCTCATGCAGTAATGGGGGGCAGGCTTTTGTGGAGGTAGCTGAATCTAGAATTTTTGACTGATTCCTAGAGCAATGTGGGGATTGAGGGTGCTGGGATTAAGACTGGGTGACTGCTGGATCACTCCCTAATCCCAGGAGTCTGGATAAGATAAAAGGGGCAGAAAGAGGCTTGCTTCACACTTTTGCTCTTGATGCTTTTGCTGTCTTCCACCACGAACTATTGCCCCTGTGCCATGCTACCCTGCTTTGGAGCCAGCTGATTATGGACTGAAACCTCTACAAACTGTGAGCTAAGTAAACCTTTTCTTCCTTAACTTTGGGTACTGGGCATTTTGTCCCACCAACAAACAAAGTAACTAAGACAAAGGGATAGAAAGAGGAGGTCAAATTCAATGATAAGGTTCAATATTGAACTTATAGAGAAACTTGATTTGGTTCTCATTCAGTTTGGTTTGCAACCAAAACCAGAAAGAATTAAGTTTGTGAATTAAGGTATCACACTGTATAAGGATTTGTAATGGGGGGGATGGTTATGAGCAAAATATTTTACACACATTGAACTCCCCCAAAAATGTGATGGGGGGAGGGGGTAAGGGAGGGAATAGAGTGAATATGGTCAAAGTATGTGTACATATAATTAATCTGTACAACCTGTAAAACCAGGGGAAAAAATTTTAAAATGTGTATACTAAAAAAAAAAAAAAAAACATTAAAAAAACCTGAGGTCAGATGCTTGCTCAGCTCTGCGTATAGACATGTTAATCATGTAGAGGTCCTGTCTAAAAGCTGGTAATACAGAATTGATTGGCCCTAAATTTACATAACCCATGTAGTTTCCCTTCAAGAGTTACAGAGACATTCAGCTGCTATGAGTGCCCTGAAGTCTTTAGCCAGTGCCCTCTGGTCATCTTGGATTCCAGCAGAGCTTCTGCCCAAATGAGGCTGTCTCACGAAGAAACACTCATCTCACAGACAGCTGATGAAAAGATAAAGACTTCTCTGCAGGCAACTGGCAAAACTAGAACTGAGATAATGATCAGTCATTCCTTTGTTAATGGGCCAGTTTGATCTCCTTCAAAGTTGTGCCTTTCAGCTCAAACTGAAGTTCTCCATTCTCTCTCTTCTTTGCGGTACAGAGGATTGAACCCAGGGTCTTTGCACTGAACTACAACCTCAACTCCCATGTTGTTTCTGAACTTACCATCCTCCTGTCTGAGCCCCCCAGAATGCTGAGATTACAGGCCTGTACCAGACCTGGCTCAGGGCTGGCATCACTGAACGGTTGCAGTAGGAGCCTTGGAGTTGGCCCTTGTGCTTACCTGGCTGCTAATTTTTGACTGTGCCTAATAAATCAGCCTATGCTTCATCACTCACTTGTCGTGAAATGTTCTTCTGCAACTACGCTGAGAATCTGCCTGGAATCAGGCATGGTGGCACACACCAATAATTATAGAACTCTGGGAGGCTGAAGCAGGAAGATGTAGACTAGCCACTTAGCAAGACCCTGTCTCAAAATATAAAATAAAAAGAATCGGGGATGTAGGTCAGTGTGAAGGCCAGGGTTCAATCCCCGTCTCAAGCGCACCCACCTACACACTCTGACCCAGGGGGAAGATCCCATCTCCTCTTAGAGGGACCTCCTAAGACTCTGATGATACATCTTAATTGGTTTTATTTCCTATTCTACAGTGGGGCAACACTTCACCTGTTCCATAAAATAGAGCAAGTGTGGTTTTATAGATAGAGCTAGAAGGTGGTTTCATCTGTAGGAGGGCTTGAAGAAAGCAGAAAGGAGGCAGATTGGGTGGCCCACACCTACAGTCCCAACAGGGGCGGAGGCAGGATTGAGTTTTCAAGGCCAGCTTGAACTACACAGCAAGACCCTATCTCTGAAAACCAACACAAACAAGAAACTGGGCTGACTGGGAAATTTGGCTCTTATTCTAATCCTGATTTTTAGGTCAGATAAGCACTTTAGTTTCAGCTTGGTGACATGGCACTTTACCTTGAGTGACTCCATTGTGATTTTTTTTGCCTAGTCTGTTGGGGCCTAGGATATGAGTCCAAACAATGGCCTCCTGTGATTCATATTCAATAACACTCAAAGGTAACAAAAAGTTTGGTTCTTCATCCCCTTCCAGGATAGTCACATATTACGAGCAACACAAGGTCCAACTCCATTAGTAAAGCCTCCTAATTCCGGTGTTCAGGGAGGCGCAGATGGGAAGAAGCGGTGGGTCCTGAGACTCCTCAGACTCTGGGTCAGGGATAGAGCAAGGGCCTGGCAGGATGGCACCGCCACAGGGAACGGGAACGAGGGCCAGACCTGGCTCAGGGCTGGCACGACTGAACGGTTGCGGTAGGAAACAAAGGCTGCTGGAAAACCTGCCTTAAAAGCCGAAAGCCCGTGCTCTAACTTTATTCAGTTGAGCGGATTCGCCGATTTCCTTTTAAAGAACAGCGAGCTCAGGGGCCCCGCGCCTTGCCCGGCCAGCCCTGCGCGCTACGCGCTGAGCCCGCAGCCTGCGAAACTTCTGACTCCCGGCACCCGAGCTTCCTGCACCTCTTTCCTCCCACGCAGGTTTCCTGTTCCTTCGCCTTTCTGGAACGGCGGGCAAGCCAGCCGACCTTCCTCGCCCCAACACTTCCACAGGCCCGGCGGGGCTGGCAGCGCGGCGGCGCAGGGGTCACAGGGCGGAGGAGCGGCGCGGGGCGGGGTTCCCGGGGCGGAAGTGCGGCTGCGCGGTCCGAGGCCGCGCGGGGGACGCCGGAAGAGCGACTCACAGCCCCGCGTCCCTGGGCCCAGGCCTGGTAGGCGCCCACCTCCCGCGTCATGGCGGCCGAGGAGGTGGTTCAGATCCGCCTGGAGGGCCGCTGCTACCCGGTGAGCAAGAAGAAGCTGCTGGAGCAGAGCGACTACTTCCGCGCGCTCTACCGCTCCGGCATGCGCGAGGCGCGGGGCGCCGAGGCCGGGGGTCCCGAGGTGCAGCAGCTGCGCGGCCTGAGCGCGCCCGGCCTGCGCCTGGTGCTGGACTTCATCGACGGCGGCGGGGCGCGCGAGGGCGGGCTGCTGGGCGCGGCACCGGGCGACGAGGACGCGGACGAGGCGGGCCTGCTGTCCGGCCTAGTGGAGGCCGCCTCCTTCCTGCAGGTCACGGCGCTGTTGCGGCTGCTGCTGTCCCAGGTGCGGCTCGGTAACTGCCTGGAGCTGCACCGCCTGGCGCAGGTGCACGGGCTGCCCGACCTGCAGGAGGCCTGCCTGCACTTCATGGGCGCCCACTTCCACCAGGTGCTGCGCCAGCCCCACTTCCCGCTCCTGGCGACGGGGGACCCCGGCCTGCAGCAGAGGCTGAGGGAGGCCCGCATGACGGGGACACCGGTCCTCGTGGCTCTGGGGGACTTTCTGGGGGGGCCGCTGGCGCCTCATCCCTACCAGGGGGAGCCCCCGTCCATGCTCAGGTACGACGAGACGACGGAGCGCTGGTTCCCGCTGGCCAGCAACCTTCCCCCGGACCTGGTGAACGTCAGGGGCTACGGGGCCGCGGTCCTGGACAATTACCTCTTCATCGTGGGCGGGTACAGGATCAGCAGCCAGGAGATCTCTGCCGCTCACTCCTACAACCCCAGCACTAATGAATGGCTCCAGGTGGCCTCCATGAACCAGAAGAGGTAAGGGGTCGAGCAGAGTTGGCGTCTCATTCATTCCTGGTTCCTGCACTCCTTCCGGATGTGCTGGGTGGGATGACATCTGCAGGAGAGCTGCTGGCTTCCAGCTGGCAAAGCTCCCACTGAACAAGAACTAGGAAGAAGAGGCCTCAGCTTGATCCATTAGCTGAGTGATTTCTTTCAGGTATTACGCCTTTATGTAAATCTGCCTCCTTCATCTGTATCCAAGTGCAAAGAAGTTGTTTCCAAGAACAGTACTCTAAATGAAAGCCGCTCATTTTTTTATTTTTCTTTTTTCTCACTGTGTTTTAGGGTCTGATCCTGATCATAAAGACACACTGGGCCCTGATCTTTGGGGTCTTTTGTTGTTTTCAGTAACTTTGAAGCCCTTAACACTGTGGCACCAATCCATGATGAACAAATAATCATTAGAAAGGTATTTATATGATATATAGGATTTCCTGCTGCTTTTCTTTATTGTGGTTCTGAGGATTGAACTCAAGCCTTTGTACTGAGCTACGTCCCAAAACATTTTTTATTTATTTTTTTATCTTGAGACAGGATCTCACTGTTCTGAAGCTACCTTAAACTTGGGATCTGTCTGCCTCAGAGTAGGTGGGATTATAGGCATGTGCCACCATACCTGGCTCTTTATTTTTCCCCCGTCTCTTTTGCTTCTTTCTTTCCAAAGATTCATCATCATTAGTCCAAAACTTGAGCCGGGTCAACTACTGCTGTCTCTTGATATCAGGTATTTGTGGAGCTTTGGTTCCAGGATCCTCTCAAATACCAAAATCCACCGATGCTCAAGTTCCCTTTATAAAATGTGGTATTTGTATATAATCTGTCCATCTCTTTACTTTCAGCTCTAGATTATGATACATAATGCAATGCAAATGCCATGTAAATAGTTGTTACACTGTATTGTTTAGGGAATAAGGACAAAGAAAGGTTCAGTAGAAAAGAAGTTTTTTTCTGGGATGTCTTCAATCCCTGGCTGGTGAATCCACAGACACAGAGCCTGCACATATGGAGGGCTGAGCGTATTTGTCCCCAACTGGAACCATTTCCCTTCTAGTCATGCAACTTCCCAGCTCCCCAACAGTGACTTCAAGAAAGGAAAAGGAGAAATTTAAGCGTAGTCGTGGGAGGGTAAGTTGGGCAAGGAGCCAGGAAACAAGTATGAAAACAACAGCAGGGGCTGGTGGTGGTGATACACGCCTGTAATCCCAGCCCTCAGGCTGAGGCAGGAAGATTGCTGCAAGTTTGAGGTCAGCCTAGGCCACATAGTTCAAAGCCAGTATGAACTACAGTAGTGAGACTGCCTCAAGGAAATAAAGATGGTAGGGCCCAAGATGCCTCAGACTCACCATTCAGAAGTTAGGAGAAGAACCATTGTGAACCAAGAAAGGTGTCTTCCAGTCCACTGTTGTCTCCTCAAGCCCCACTGTGGAGCCTGCCCTGAAATGTGAAGAGTTGGGGACTCATAGCTGGGTGAAGAAAGTCTTAACAGTACTTAGGGGTCTTTTATGCACATTTAGTCTACTTGAGGGTCTCCGTAAATCAGAGTTCTTTAGGGAGCACTGGCTTTATATCTATTGGAACATAAAGTTCATTTTATGTCATCAATTTTTGTGTGTGTGGGTACTGGGAATCGAACCTACAACCTCACACTTGCCAAGGAGGTGCTGTGCCAAGGAGCTGTATCCTTGACTCCAATGTCATGAATTTAAGTTGTTCTTTGTTGTGGAAAGATTTTCTCCATCAGTTTTGAAAGGTAGTCTTGCAGGATCAGGCAGTCTTGTTTGGAAGTCCTTTTCTTCTAAGGCGTGGAAGACTGCAGTTCAAGCGATACTGGGCTTTAAAGTTTGTGTTGAGAAATCTGTTGTAATTCTGATGGGTTTGCTATTATAAGTGATTTGTTGCTTTTCTCTAACAGCTTTTAAGGTTCTCTCCTTGTATTGGACCGCTGGGATTTTGGCTATGATGTGTTATTGGAGAAGTTCTTTTCTGATCGTGTCTTATTTGGTGGTCCCTGTGCCTCCATATATTTGTATGTTAAATTCTCCCTCCATATTTGGAAAGTTTTCTGTTTC